CACTCAAAGCCCTGCTCTAAATTTAAGTATTGCCCAGGATCCTTCACCATCATCCAGTCCTGAGTCAGATAAACCAACCTAACTGTTTACCCTCTCATCCTTTCACAGGGTATTGTGACCCATTTCACACTACAACAGCCATTGATATCCTAAGTCTTATATTAGTACTTCTGGGACTTGTCCTTGGGATAGGATTGGCCACAGTATCTCCTTCCAATTATAATTTTACTTCCAGGTGTTTACTCTCATTGATCTATTACCTCATAATCTCATTCTTTGCCATTCTTAATTACTGGAAACAATAATCGTTCCTCTCCTGCTCCTGTTTTCTCTCCCAAACCTTACCCAAGCCAATAAGCCCCTGGTATATACCTTGACTCTCTCCCAGCCTAACTCAGCCCTCCTTCAGACCCAGGTATGATCTCCTGAAATCACATTCCAGGCCACCTTATGCCAGTTCTTCGACCAAATCATCAAATTCCTGATGCTCTTCAGACTGGCCCACAGCTGATTTCTGCTGCCCTTTCCATATGTACCTTTACAGTTGCCCCCTGTGTTCTCCATCTTATTCAATCCCAGGTCAGTCGCCTCTCCACTCAAGTCTCCCGACAGACGGCTCACCAGCTGATACTTCAGGCCAGAGACCCCAGTGAGACCACCGTGTTACATGACAGCGAACCAACTAACCATAGCTCAGATCTCGGCTCAATTTAAACATTTTCTAAATGATCTTTGGACTGATATTCTCTGGTTTACTCCCCACCCTCCTCCTATTACCTGATAGCTGACTAGATCACTAATACACAGCTCCAAAAAACTTTATCAGATTTCACCCTGTCTAAAGTCACAATCTTTACCTTTATACTTGTTCTTAGTAACCCTCCAACTAGTCCACAGTCTCATACAAATTATCTTCTACTCTCCCCTCCCTCATTAACTGATTTGTGTGCTTGGACTTTTCTCAGGAAGCCCTACCAACAATTCCAATGATAATGCTGCTGCTGTCAACAATTCCAAGTTCATAAAGGACAACTCAGCCGGCCAACCTCCATGCCTGCCCCCTAGGTTGATTTGTCGCCCCAATTCAGCAGGAAGTAGATACAGAAGACAGACTCTCCGCCCCTTTTTCCGCCTGCCATGGACATGTTGGCTGTCGATTGTCATCCAAAATCAAAGAGTGGGGAATGTTAGGGAATTGATCATGTTAAAGTATGCTGTGACACCGCCTCACAGGCTGCATTCTCCTGGTACATCTTGGCTCCTAAAATGACCTCATACCCTTATCTCTGGTTTCCCTACCCCCCAAGGCCACAGTGGTCCAGGAAAGTTGAAACCTGTGTCTGCAGGACTGGGCCCATAAAAGCAATCTGGCCTGTGATAGGTTAAAAGTAGCTCACTCCTCCTAAATAAGCAATAGCCCACCCCAAAACTGATAAAAGGACCTTCCTTTCTTTGTTCTCTCTCTCCTTCTGCTTCTTCCTCCTCCTCCTCCTCTCTCTCTCTCTCTGCCTTCCTGCCTCCTGCTCGCCTCCCTACAATAAAGATCTCCTGCCGGACCTCTCAGTGCGTGAGTGGCATAATTGGGCAAGGGGCACCGAAAGGGCACACGAACCCCCCTTTCAGCTAAGTGGCACTGCATTTGCATAGAATACATGAAAACCTTATGTTCATTTCCCAGGACTGATAAAAAATAAAAAAAATAAACTGAAGACATCATATTACTTTATAATACTTTTTGGTTGAAAGATGAAAGAAGAAACTTCACTATCTTATCGATTGAGATTAGCCTGTTTGGGAAATTTGATTATTTATGCCTCCCCCCACTTTAAATACTTTTAAATAATATTTTTAAGGAAGGTCGGTCCAGTTTGGTGTCATCAAACTCCATTTTGATTTTTAGTCTGGTATGTTGGGGTCCAGTACAGGGACTTAGTTCAAAACAATAGCTCCCAATAATTGTTAGTTAACACTGTTTATGAGCACTCTATGAAGTTAGGTACTTCCCCAGGTTTATAAGAAAGCAGGAAGTGACAATTGAATCCAGTCCAATTTAACTGAAAAAGCTAGTGCTTGTCCTCATAAAACATATAGCAGAATTCAGAGAGCTTTCTATCAATGAAGAAAAAAATAAGAAATAGGGAGAGGTCTTAGTAAGCCTTCAAAAAAAGATCATTCAATCCACCCATTTATCCAGGCCCAGGGCTAGGCATCAGATACTCTACTGATGTTTACTTCCTTCTGCCTGTCCCCATGCTGTAAGAAGGCAGGTTGAGAGGAAGTGAGTAAAGGCACTGCTAATTGCTAATAAGACATTTGACCCCAAAGGAGAGGACCAGTCTTTCAGTCAATGCAGGAAACCTCATGTGAACCTGGAAAGCCCCCAACTATGCACCAGTAGATACCCCAAACTGCCAAATGGACTTACCAATCAGAAAGCCTCTCTCCTCTCCACTTGCAAAAGTAAACCTCATCCTGAAAAACGCTCATCTAGCAAGGACTGCAATTTTTTTTATGAAGCAACACTTCATGGTAGAGTTCAAAAGCACTAGAATCTGGGTCCTGGGTTCAATCTCTAGCAATTGCACTCCCCCTGCAGTAGAAAGAAAAATTATTCCTTACAAATTCCTTCTTGTCTCTGTTGGAACATAAGTAATGGTAGCTGTTTCCCTTAGCATGATAATACTGAATAATTGACTTTGATTAATTCTATAGGTGGTCTTCCCCTGGCAACATTTTCAAAACTCTCAGCAAGCTTCAACATTCATGCTGCAAACATTTACAAGAGTCTTCACTCCAGCCTGGCCAGATGGTAGACCCAGTAGGGTAATGATGAATGAAATGACGACTCAAATCCACTGGGGCAAGAGAGCAGTGTGGAAAGAAGTGACTTCAGCTTTAGGGAAACTGCTCTGCAGCTCTGAGCTCTGAGAAAGTTACAGGACCTTCAGGTCATGCAAGGGGGCGTGGTAATCTCTGTGGTCCAGGTCTCTCTTGGCAAAATGGGGTAACAGTAGGAAAGGCCCCTCTGCAGCATCTTGTGAAGATTAAACAACAGACACCCAGAGTATACATGACAGGCAAGAGCACAGTGTACAAACAGAATAAAAAAGAGCCCACCATCCCATACTGATCCATGCGAATAAAAGAATAAATAAGGCAATGGGGAGAAGGTGCAGCTCTCTCAGGGTAGAACCCAAACTAATAAATGTGGAAGGATGGAGTTAAATAATCAGCACTTGTAGCCATCAAAGGAATCATTGATTTGATATTATCAATGGATGCTAAATCTAGTGGGTAAGATTTTGAACAAGAAAGGGATATAAAATTAATGTAGTGGCTTTTATAACTATCAAGAATAGAAAACCAGCCAACATGTAAGTACTGTAATTGATGGAACTGCATAAATGTTATATGGACATTTGGGGGTAATATCTTTTTTAGGTTTTTGTCAATTTGAAGTTAAATCCAAATAAAATGTTTTTTTTTTAAAGGCTTTAGAGGAGACTAATACCAATAACTATCTTAGATTTTAAAAATTGTAAAACAGTGCTTAATAGGGGTCTTGGACTTGAATTATATGTATACGCCTTATTAGATTTGTGACTTCTGACAAGTTACTTAAACCTTTAGCACCTCGACTTCCTCTTACCAAAATGACTGTTTTACATTTGTACCTACTTAAAAAGTCACAACAAAGACATAATGAACTCGTGTCTGTCAGGTGCTTGGTCGATATTCAGCGTGCTTTTTTTTTCTTTCTTTTTTTGTTTTGAGGTAATAGAGATTGAATCTAGTACCTTGGCACAGGGTTACATGGCCATCCATTTTTATTTCGAGGCAAGCTTTCATTAAGTCACTAAACTGCCCAGGCAGCTTAAATTTGCAATCCACCTGTCTGCCTTGACCATTCAGAGTGCTGGAATTACAAGACTATGCCACCAAGCCTGAGTGCTACTGTCACTTTTATTACATGTATTTACATGTAAAGTACACAGAGACTGGTAAACTCCAAATAAATGCTCTTATCCTCATGGTTACGGGGCTTAAACTTCTCAAGTAGTTTTGCACTGATTTCAGGTTGAGGATTAAAAAACAGAACAGACCAAACCAAAACAAAAACCCAAAGCTCCCGAAGGGGTAAAGAGCTTGCACCAGCTACAGCAGACTCCCCGGCCCCGGACCTCGGGTCCTGGCTTCCTCTGATTGCTTCCGGCTTCCTCTCCACATCACTTCCCTAGTCAGGCCTCTCCGACCTCAGGACTAGACTGAGGTCTCTGCTGGACCGTGCCGGCTCCCACAGTAGTGACTAACAGTCCTCGGTCTGTCCATCCCCTGGGATAGTTTAAGTGCCACGACCCCAGGGCTTTTGGTCATGATGGCAAGCCGGGGCCAGCATGGTGAGAAAAGGCCTTCGGGTACTAAATGTGACAGAGAGGAGAATTGGGTAGGAGGCCATGGCGCCCGGGGACCAGCGGA